ACAAACACTGATGAGGTCCAGCACCTCTCCATTGCTCCATTCTGGGACTCACCTGGCATGTGGAGGCATGGTCACCTGGAAAGATTCGCGGAGAGCACTCCACGCCTGGCTGAGCAAACAGGAAAGGGATTTTCAAAATTCCTAGAGAATTTAAAGGGCGGGTCTGATGGTTGGTCACCTGAGGGCAGGGCAGTAGAGTTCAAACTGATGCCCAGAGTGGCTAGCACAGGCATTGTGGGACACTTCTTGAGGCCGACCAGAGCGCATTAACAGACCAGGGTGTCCACACTGGCGCTGCAGCGCTCCAGCGGGGGCGCAGCAAACATTATTCCACTCGCTGAGGTGGAGTAACAGCAGCGTTGTAGCCGTGGAGTCTGAGCGCTCTATGTGCCTTGCCAGTGTGGATGGGTAGTGAGTTAGTGCACCCGGGGCTCCTTTATTGCGCTGTAACTCGCAAGTGTAGCCAAGGCCTAAGACATGTTCCAAGTCTGGGGAACAACAGCCACAAACCAGTTCCTCAGAGACAAAAGGAAAGCCCACACCTCAGTCAGGTGCCAACAAAATCAAGTGGACCCTGACCTGGTTAAGTGGCCATTCTTAGGCCACCACCCACTAGAGGATGACACCCAGCTGGCGCAGTGCACACTTGCAGCCAGGCCTGTCTAGACATGAGCTCAGGTAAGCAAGGTAATTCAATGCAAAAAACTTTCTGAGTGACAACAGTGAATTTTGAACCACTTGCTAGAATTTAACATTTTCCACAATCCCATGGGATAAAATAAACACTTTACAGCCCAGAGATCATTCTCTAAACAATTCTATAGGCTTCATGAGTAATTTCTATGTTGTCCCATTGATGTCAGCCCTATTACATTGTAGAGAACTTTCTCATAAGGGACAGCATTGCTCATTCTTGTGGTTTTGGTGTAGTTCTTAAAGCCCCAGCTTCTCAAGTCATGTGATTCTAAGAAAATATCATCTTTGATCTCCAAAAAAGAAGTTTATAGGCCTCGTGTTTGCAGAGAAAATCTGGAAAACATGATCCCTAAAAGGTTATATAGATAGTTGTCCTTTTAAAAAAAAATCAGTATTTTAAACCAATTACATGGTTTTTGGGGGGTATGGCTCCTGCTTGGGGTTAATGATGTTTAGAGTTCAGTGAGATTTTCAGGCAGTTTTGCTTGGGATAATAGTCCCAAATCAGGTTATTGTCAGCCCCTTTGGCCTGACCCGTTAGGCAGGCCAGTCCTTGCTTACAGACAGCCCCCCAACCTGAAGCAAATACTCACCAGCAACCACACACCACACAACAGAACCACTAACCCAGGAACCTATCCTTGCAACAAAGCCCGTTGCCAACTGTGCCCACATATCTATTCAGGGGACACCATCATAGGGCCTAATCACATCAGCCACACTATCAGAGGCTCGTTCACCTGCACATCCACCAATGTGATATATGCCATCATGTGCCAGCAATGCCCCTCTGCCATGTACATTGGCCAAACTGGACAGTCTCTACGTAAAAGAATAAATGGACACAAATCAGACATCAAGAATTATAACATTCAAAAACCAGTCAGAGAACACTTCAATCTCTTTGGTCACTTGATTACAGACCTAAAAGTGGCAATTCTTCAACAAAAAAACTTCAAAAACAGACTCCAAGGAGAGACTGCTGAATTGGAATTAAATTGCAAACTGGATACAATTAACTTAGGCTTGAATAGAGACTGGGAGTGGATGGGTCATTACACAAATTAAAACTATTTCCCCATGTTTATTTCCCCCCACCCCACCACTGTTCCTCCTGGAATGGCCCACCTTGATTATCACTACAAAAGGTTTCCACCCCTCTCGCCCTCCTGCTGATAATAGCTCACCTCACCTGATCACTCTCGTTACAGTGTGTATGGTAACACCCATTGTTTCATGTTCTCTGTGTATATAAATCTCCCCACTGTATTTTCCACTACATGCATCCGATGAAGTGAGCTGTAGCTCACGAAAGCTTATGCTCAAATAAATTGGTTAGTCTCTAAGGTGCCAGAAGTACTCCTTTTCTTTTTGCGGATACAGACTAACACGGCTGCTACTCTGAAACTGGACAATATTTGAGGCCTTGCCTAGCTGCCATGAGGAGAGGGCGGGATGATATAAGTCAGCTCCCTTCTTTTGTTCAGTCCTGTTCAATTACTAAGAATGTCCACACGTCCTGTTTCCCTGAACACAGGAGGAACAAACAGCAGCTGACAGTTGCTTTGCTCCTGCCTTTTCTGTGCTCCTATGCCTGAAGGAGTTCTGTCTCTGTTGGCTTTCTCTCAGGCTCATGCTCACCATGACTCCTCTGGCTGTCTTCTGCTTTCTGTCTCTCATGCATACAGCTGCAGCCAATCAAACCCCACAGCTGTTGTGTTTGCAATCAGTCACTGGGAAACCCCCTCTTATTCTCCCTGATTTAGTGCTTCTCAGGCCTTGCTGTGCAGCCCAAGGCCTGCGGCAGTGGCTTCTATTGTTTCCAGCAATCACTACATAAAGCAGCATTTAATTGCTCCTTCCACTGAGGCTGAAAGAAGACTGCTTTGCACATCCATTGACTTCAACCAGGCCTGTGATTGTCCACAGGTAGGCTTGGCAAAATTTAATTTGTATTTGTTTCGTGTTTCAGCAGATAATAACTATGTTTATTTTAAGCATTTTTTCTCCATTTTTATTGATTTACATTTTCACAGTTGCAGGAAATTGTGGGGATGACAGACAATGGGGGGCTGCCCGACAATAGTTATTTCATGAGAGCAGATGTTTAGATTCACAAAGTCAACACTTTATAATGGTTAAAGCACAAATGGTCAACATCACATGTCAAAATATACAAAGTACATATCCTGAAATCAAACAGAGCCGTTCTCAAGCAGTATTTTCCTTACTTTCCCTAGCTGTAAATGTTGATGATTTTCAATGGATGTATTTTTCCATCGGTTTGTGTGTGAGCAGCTAAATTGATGTTTACCGACATTTGCCAATAAAAATTGAATCCTTCCAAGCCTAACAATAAGTCAGAGACCTGCTTGAAGGCAGCCACTGCCACTTTCCAGTTTAACGTTAATAATATAGCGCCTAGATATTCTGGTAATGGGCAGCAGTCTAAAACCCTAAGAAAGATTATGTGGAGAACTCTGTTTCAAACAGAGGCGTGAGGTCCATGGGCACTGTGCTTCTCTCTTGGTGTGTGTCTTCATTACTGCTGGAACAAGCGCATCTGTCACCTAATCCACGGGATGAATTTAGCAAGCCGTCTGTATCTCGCAGGTGGAGAACCGTTCACTCGTCCATAGGAGACAATGCCCTGGGGTACCCTGTTACACTCCAGGGGCCCCCCGGAATCCCCCTTCAAACACAGGAGAGAAAGGAGGAGTGTTAGAGGATAAATCAGTCACCAAAATACTTGCGGTCATGTGATAGGAAAGAAAACGCTGAGACTGACCAGAAGGAGGAATGGGACACGGGGCCTGTTCCCTCTAGGGGGCGCTATCTCTGATCCAACCCCAGGGCAGGGCACTGGCTGGCTCAGGGGTGGGGAATGAGACACGAGGCCTTTCCCCTCTAGGAGGCCTTGGCTCCCATCTGGCACCAGGGCGGGGACTGGCGGGCTCATGAGGGTGGGATGGATATTTACCATGTAAGCCGATCCCCTCTGGAAAGGGGTCCCTGCACACAGCATGCTGGCGTGCTTGTAGCCAGGATAATACATGATGCACGTGTCCTTATCCAGCACCTGCTCTTGTACCTCATGTAGGGTACTAGGGGGCACAATGGCATTCGGGCTAGTGAGCCCCTATCCGGCTACCAGGCACTTCTCCTCCGCCTTTGGGGTGGAATGAGCCGAGGGCAAGTTGAGCGGCTTCACCTCCTCCGTCACCTCCACCTTCTCCAGCTACGACGGGGGGAGAGAAAGGGTTTGGGATCAGCCTGGCTGCTTGGCTGGGGGTCAGTGTGAAAACCTCCCTGAAGGACCCACTCCGGGACACCCAGGAAGGAGTTAGTCAGGGGAGCAGCTGCCCCTCCAGCTCAGGCAGGGAAGGCTGTGGGGGGCCCGAGAGGGTGCAGGAAGAGCTAGGACTGGAGAGGGAACAGCAGCGTGGAGGAGATGCAACAGGAGATGGTAGAAGCAGGCCAGGGGATAGCAGGGACTGGAGGTGACTCCGCGGGGGACTGAACCGGAAAGGTCGGCTGGTAGGAAGCACCAGACCTGGACTAGTGGCAGGCAGAGGGCGCTGGACTGGACCAACATCCAGCCCGTACGATCCGGTTGAGCTAAGGTGAGGCTAATGGGAAGAGACGTCCCACCTCAGCGTAAGGACTTCAAGGGATGGAGAATCCATCACATCTCTAGCTCAGTTGTTCCAATGGTTATTTCCCTCCCGATACAAACCCGAGCCGGATTTCTAGCCCAAATTTGTCTGGCATCAGCTCCTGTTCAGCCGGTCTAGTCCTGCCTAGGACAGCGAGGCTGAAGAGCCCCCTACCCTCAGAAGGCCTTCCCCATGGAGAATCCTACAGCCTGTGGTCGAGTCCTTTTCTCCCCTACAGTAACCTCAGGAGATCGATCTCCTTGGAGCTCTCCCTCTTAGGCCGCATCTCCAGATCTCAGTCTGTTCCTGGAGCTTGTTCCAATTTGCCAACGTGCTGTGTGAGGTGTGGACACCAGAGCTGGCCACAGGCTCCAGTCATGGTCTCCCCATGGCCATATCCTGAGGGGACCACACCTCCCTGGTCCTACTCGCTATTTCTCGGTTTACACACCCAAGGACAGCATCTGCCTGCTTAGATCCAGCCTTGTGCTGGGCTGATTTCCACTATGACCCCGAAGTCCCTTCCAGAGTCGCTGCTGTCCAGGATACAGCCCCTGTCCTGTCAGTGTGGGCAACATTCAGCATCCCTAGAGGGCACACTTGCATTGCAGCTGTCTGCGTCAAAGCCCAGGGTGGGACTCCCGGTACCTGCAGAAGCAGGAGGTCGTTGGTGAAGGGGTCCCTGGTGAATTCTGGGTGGGGGATGATGCGTCGCACACGCAGGAGTTGCTGGGTTTCCTCCGGCTCGTGGACATTGTGGGCTCCGAGGATGACTGTGATGTTGCTATTAAATGGGGAATAAAGTGCCACGAAGGAGGAAGGCGACTGACCCGGCTGGGAGCTGCGAGGACACTTGGGTCCATTTCCCTGTCCCGGTCTTTCCCAGCTTTGGCAGCTCAGAGCTGTGGGCCCCCCTAGGGTGAGGGGCCTACACTGCCATCCTGGATGCCTGGGTCAGTCCCTGTCCCAGCCTCTCCCCACAGGAGCTGGGAGTTGTGGGGCACCCTAGGGGTGAGGGCCCTTTATTGCTGTCCTGGATGCCTGGCTCCCATTCCGTGTCCCAGTCTTTCCCCACTGGTGCTGGGAGCCGTGGGGCCCCCAAGGGGTGAGGTCCCTGCCCTGCCACCCTGTGTCCCAGTCCCTATCCTGATCTCTCCTCCCTGAAATCTGGGAACTGAGAGCTCTAGGGCCTCCTGGGGCACCACCCCACAGGGCTGGGTCTCATTCCCTGTCCCCGCTTACCCTGCAATACAGCTACAGTGAGCAGCCGTTAGGACAAAGTCTTTTTTCACCAAAGCCCTCTGCACATCTGTGTGTTCACCTGGCCCATTCTCACCTCCAGGTAGGCCATGTAGGGTCTGGAGTGTGGCCAGGATATGTTCCCTCTGATAATCCGCCCTGGAAGAGCAACCCCCACACCAGCAAGAGTTAGTGGAGAGGGGGGTTTGCATTGCCATGACCAGGCTGGTGTCATACACCCTTTATTGCATGCCAGCGAGGGAGATGAAGCCAGGGATTGGGGGAGTGTGACATACCCTGTGTGCAATCCAGACCAATGAGTAGCTGTGTCACCCCTGCCCTCTAAGTGGGGTGCCTTTTGCAATACCTTGCTGCTCACAGCCTCCAGTCTGGGCTGCTCACAAACAGCCTCCAGGTTTAAGTCACTCCCAGCTGTGTCTGTGTAGATGCTGCCAGCGAGCCAGCCAGACCTTGTCTCTTCCCAGCCATGGGTATGCTGCAGGGTGACCCCAACGCAGCCCCAGTCTGAGATTTCCCCCCAGAAATGTCCTCTACAGCCCAGCCCTCTCCTGGACAGTACCAATTATATAAAGTCAGTCATTTATTAGTAGAAACGATATGCAGATATCCCGTTGCCCCAAGTAGAGTTTCCCAGGCTCTTCAGTTCCAACACACTGGATCAGATAAAACAATAAACCAAGTTCATTAACTACCCAGAGAGAGATTTCAAGGGAGTCCGAGTCACGAGGCATAAAGGTCAGGAATGGTTACAAGAACAAAGATCAAACACAGTTGGTGCCTAACTTAACAAACTAGGTTAAATTCAAAGCAAAGATTTTCTCACCACGTGCTCTCAGTAGTATTACTGGCCAAACTTCTTAGGCCAGGACCCCTTCTGTTTAATAGCTGCTTCCTTTGTCCTGTCTCATGCAGTCAATGGAGGGACAGAGAGAGAGAGAGAGGAGCTGGGAACAGGGTAACAGGCCTTCTCTGTGGACGGGAACTCCATTCTATTCCTTTGCTAAAATGTAGATTTTTTTGCCCCTGCCCACTTTCCTGCCAAAGAATGGCCACTTAGCACCTGATGGCCCATCAGGCTTGTTTACACCTGGCTTTCTCTCTAGTTTGGCCACATGTTTTAGTAATACCAGAGAGTGGAACCTTATAACTTTACTTTAATGTTGCCACACATATTTAACTAGGACAATAATGAGCAGCAACTTATGCATTTTCAGATGATACCTCACAAGGTGTGCGGTGTACAAAGATTACTACAATAGTGGAGACAGGGTTATATTCTGTGATAGATAGATAGACAGACAGACAGACAGACGGGTGTCTTTGGGGATGGATAGATACACACCTGTCTGTGTGTCTATATGACAGACAGATGGGGTGTGTATGGGGATAGATCTCCAAGGTATCTCACATGCTAGGGGCCGATATGTTTGTCATGGTGGCTGATTGACCCTGCCCTATAGGAGCAGAGGTGCCCTCGGCCACAGCGGGTACCCTCACCTGCAGCTTCTTTGGGCAAGTCTGCGGTGATGTCAACCAGTCCCCAGCTAACCAAATGTTGGGAACCATTAAGAAAGGGATAGATAATAAGGGAGAAATATCATATTTCCTCTATATAAATCCATGGTACGCTCACATCTTAAATACTGTGTGCAGATGTGGTCGCCACATCTCAAAAAAGATATATTGGAATTGGAAAAGGGTCTGAAAAGGGCAACAAAAATGATTAGGGGTATGGAACAGCTTCCGTATGAGGAGAGATTAATAAGACTGGGACTTTTCAGCTTGGAAAAGAGACAACTAAGGGGGGATATGATACAGATCTATAAAATCATGACTGGTGTGGAGAAAGTAATTAAGGAAGTATTATTTACTCCTCATAACACAAGAACTAGGGGCCACCAAATGAAATTAATAGGCAGCAGGTTTGAAACAAACAAAAGGAAGTATTTCTTCACACCACGCACAGTCAATCTGTGGAACTCCTTACCAGAGGCTGTTGTGAAGGCCAAGACTAGAACAGGATTCAAAAAAGAACTAGATAAGTTCCTGGAGGATAGGTCCATCAATGGGTATTAGCCAGGATAGGCAGGGATGATGTTCCTAGCCTCTGTGTGCCAGAAGCTGGGAATGGGTAACAGGGGATGGATCCCTTGATGATTACCTGTTGTGTTTATTCCCTCTGGGGCACTTGGCATTGACCACTGTCAGAAGACAGAATACTGGGCTAGTTGGACCTTTGATTTGACCCATTATGGCTGTTCTTATGTCCCCCTGCTGGTCCCAGATAAAGGGGCCTCCCCCCTTCCCCAGCTGCCCCCACTCCTCCTGCACCCTGCATGGATGGCCTGTCTTCACTACACCCCAGGGCCATGTGGTGCCCTTGATGTCCTGTGGGGCTTCTGTGCCTTGAGTGCCAGGGAAGAGTCCTGACCTCAGGGGACCTCACCCTTCTGGGGAACAGCTGTGCCTGGACTGGGGATGCTCTGATGAGCTCCCCATGGGGTTGGGGTCACCATTCCCCCCAGCAGTCACCAGTTTGAGCCCTGAGTGGCAAGAGGGAGGCTGTGGGCAGCAGGAGCAGCAGCAGCAGCATTGTCAGTAGTGGATCAGGGAAAGTGCGTCTGACTCAGCCCTGGGGGTCTTATAGCCATGGCTTGGGCTGTGGACAGGAAACCTCAGGGTCAGACTCAGCTGCTGGGTAGCTCTCTGGAGGCACTGCTGAGCAGGTGGGGGAAAGGGCCGGGCCTGGCTCAGTCACATCCTCACCACAGCTGGGCAACATCTGGGGATGCTCAGCACCTGGAGCTCTGCAGCTTCTGGCAACAGGCACCTCTGGGCACATGTGGACACATCTGGAACTGGGCTGGGGGAGGAGAGAAACCTGCTAATATTAGAGTCTCAGCTGTCCCCCGCCCCTCCCCAGGTTCTGTGGTAGTGGAGGCTGTGGTTAACCCTGTCTCATCTCAGCTGCAGGTGGGAACTCGGCCCTTTGGTCTTTCTCAAGCGTCTCTCACCACTCGCGTGAGCAGGGCCTGGGGATGACTCAGATCAGACACCCCTGTATTTGTGATAGCAACGTTTCTGAGAAAGCCCTTGCCTGGGAGACTGATGTATGTGAGAAAGCTGGGAGACTGATATATGTGATTCTCAACCACAGCCTGTGGCTGGATCAGAGCCAGCGCCCCCTAGAGGGGAAAGGCCTTGGGCCCCATTTCCCTCCCCCTCCCAAGCCCATGGGCCAGGTCCCCAGCTGGAGTCAAATGGCCGGAGCTCTGCTGGAGTCAATGGGCCAGGGCTCCAGCTGGGGTCCATCAGACCTAGGAGTGCAATAACACGCAGTGTAACTGACAGAACTTAGGGCTCCTGCCTCCCAAACAGTGAGCAAGCCTCGGGGCATTGGTTACACGATTAGGAGGCAGACTCTGTTTAACAGCACTGCCCTGAAGAAAGAGAAGGAAACGCTGTGAAGGTGGAAAGGTGTTTATCTTGCTGCTGCAGAGAGGTTCGTAGAACCAGAGAAATAACAGCCAGACGGGACCAATGGATCATTTCTTCTGCCCTCCTCTACAGAAAGCTGTGGATAAACTGGAGAGAGGCCAGAGGAGAACAACACAAATGATCAAAGGGTTAGAAAACCTGCCCTATGAGAGAAGGTTAAAAAAACTGGGCATGTTTAGTCTTGAGAAAAGACGCCAGAGCGGGACCTGATATCAGCCTGCAAATCTGTGCAGGGCTGTTCTAAAGAGGATGGGGATCAATTGTCCCCCATGTCCCCTAAAGGCAGGACAAGAAATAATGGGCTTAATCTGCAGCAAGGGAGATTCAGGATAGATATTAGGAAAGTCTTTCTAACTCTCGGGGTAGTTAAGCTCTGGAACCGGCTCCTAAGGGAGGTTGTGGAATCCCCGTCGTTGGAGGTTTTTAAGAAGAAGTTGGACAAACACCTGTCAGGGATGATGTAGGTTTGCTTCGTCCTGCCTCAGTGCAAGGGGCTGGGCTTCATGACTTCTTGAGGTCCCTTCGAGCCCCACGTTTCTATACCCCTCTCAACGTGCTGAGAAGAAGGCCACGCATGGGACAAGGCATGGCCCACAGCTGGAGCTGTGGCATGCACAGCTGGGGCCATGCACGCCTGCCGCTAGGCCTGTCTAGAGCCGAGCTCCGGGAGCTCTGCAGCCCATGGGAGTCTCCCTCCCCCGCGCTGGCTTGCTGCTAAATGTGGCCAACACCTCCAGCCCAGGTGAGTCATCAGCCCCTTGGCTCCCTGACATGAGGGGAACGGTGCGGGGTACTGGAGATGCAGAGAGGGGTTTACAGTGGGTGACTGAGCACAGGGCTGGGCGCCCGGATTTCAGGCCTCTACTGAGACACTGCAGCATAAACCGAGCTTTTGTTCCCATGGTCTGATCTCTCTGAGTCGGCCAGACCCCCGCCCTGGGGCAGATTGGAACTGATGCTTCCTAGAGGGGAAAAGCCCTGTGTCCCATCCCCAGTCCCCGGAGCCAGCCAGCCGCCCAGTCTGGGGCCAGATCTGGGCCTGCACCCACCAGAGGGGAAAGGCTCTGTGCCCCATTTCCCCAGCCCCGCTGCTGGCAAAGGCAGGTGAATACGGAGCAGCTGGGTCCCAGGGACTTATTTTTCCCCCTGCCTGAGCTAGGGGCAGCTGGCACAGAAGCGTTTAACCCCTGCGCGGCTGGGGCTCCCCTGTCTGAGTGACAAGGCCCAGGAGGGAATTAAAGATGCCTGCGGATGATATTTCATGGAGCCAGTCTGGATCCCAGAGGACACCAGCCGGCAGGTGACAGTAACAGGGGCAGAGGGTGATGGGTGGGGAGAGGCTCGTCCACCCAGACCTGAGATCCTCTTCAAGCCCCCGGACCACAGAGCTCAGCTGTTACACTGAGGAGCTCATGCCAGCGACATCAGCTGGATGGCGTAAGGGTGTCCCTGCTGCTCCCAGTCCAGCTGGGGGATCCTGCCCCATGCTCTGCCCAGCTGCTGGGTGCCCTCCTGCTTGCTGGGGTTGGGGAGAAATTCTGTGTTTTCAGATGATACCTTACCAGGCATCCTGCGTTCAAGGATTATTACAGT